CAGCCTTTCTGTGACCTCTGTAATGTATGCTATGCATTTCTCACATTTTGTCATTTCAAGGATAGAGCAAAGAGTTCAACAAATATTAAGACAGTGATAGTTACAACCTTGTTTTTATTTCCTGTCTCAAGTTAGCGACACATAGTCCAGATTTTATCTGTTAGAAATATTAAGATGACAATAAAGACATAATTTAACAAGAGAGGAGCTGGTGCTTTTCTTTTCTTCTGTTGAATATAATAGTGTGCCCACATAATTTGGGAATGGGGTATATTCTCACTTGTCAATGAAGAGAGTTGGATGATGTTTTGGGAAACTCACCTTTTATTCTCTATTATTTTGATTTCATATACATTGTGATACTCAGATATGAGAGCACCATTTCTGCAAAGTTTAGATGGGAAAATGATTTTCATTATTCATCATTACTGCTTATGTCTCTGTTGATTGGAATTAAGATTTTGATTCACTGGGTGAGTTTGTTCCTTAGTCCGAATATGTTCCCTTATGGGCTCTCACCGTGTGTTTTTTTATGGTATAGCCCATCTTATTTTCACAGCTAGAGCCTGACTGAGAATTCTTTGAGCCCTTAACATTTCTAATATTCAAAGAGTAAAGAAAAATTGTTTTTTCTACCTCCCTTTCTCTAGTTCCCTGTACCTTAAGTAAACGCACTGTTAGGATAAGTTTGGAGTAAAACAAATACGCCCAGATTCTTTTGCCTTCTTTCTGAGGGTTGTTTTACTGTATTATGAATTTGTAATTCCTTATGGATGGTGCCTTCTGAAGGAGTTTTCCTCCACTTTTATTTGGAAAACTTGCTTGATTCAAGATTAGTTCTAAAGGTAATTTTCTTGAATGTTAAGCAGTAGAGTAGAAAGACTATTCCAGTTTCTCTAATAGTTAAGTATTGACTTTTCTTTTTTTAAACCTTCCTAGTGAAGTCTGCCTAGGAAATTTGGGCCAGGAAGATGCCTTTAAGCATCTGTACAAGTAGATAATGAATCATCACACCTTTGAAACCAGGGCATGTGTATTATTTTAGTACTATTCACTCCAAATGTGAGACATTAGTAATAATATAATACTTCATGAAGTCCTTTGATGGAGATTCTCAACTCATTTATCACATACCCCTCATAGAGCTTCAAAATAGGAACAAATTTTATTTCTGTTTTTCTCTTACAAGGCTAAATATATCATTATTGAAGATGCCAGTTTCATCTGGAAGGCAGTGCAAAAACGTGTTTATTATTTCATATGGCTAAGTTTGTTTCTTTGGTTTATATATAAAACTCAGGAATAACTAAAACCATTTCTAAATTTATTTACATGGGTATGAAAACCATACTACTACATCTGTATGATAAAGTGTGATAGCAGAAAACTAAAATAAGGATGTGACGTTCTATGTATGGACCTTTTCTGTCTTTCTTTGACACGTTTATATTTATAGAAATAGCTTATGTAGTACATGATAAAATAGAAGATTTTTAAAAGTTATCGCTAGTAGATTCCCTGAGGATAGCTGAGCCCATATATGGACTTCAAAAATGTATGTCTAAGTTTATTAGCAATACAAGGTGATGCATTATTGAACGTTATGATAATTGATAGATACTGTAAAATGCTTGAAGGATTTATAGGAATAACAGCAATCAGAAGTTGAAATGATTTACTCTGGCAACAGACTCAGAAGCTCATCCAATAATCCTCTACGTTGGTGGTGGGGTGTTACAGCAACTCTAAGTGGTTTCAATCTTAAGTCACTGATATTAGTTTCTTTGCCTTATCTTTTCAAGGTATTAATATTAGAACCAACCAAAATCTATCAACCTTCTTATTTGTCTATCAACAATGAAGTTGAGGAAAAGACAATCTCTATTTGGCACGTGCTTCCTGATGACAAGGTAAATTGTGCAATTATCAACACAAGAGCATTAGTAACGAAGGACTTTACACCCTTCTAGCATTTTTTTTTTTTGAGACGGAGTCTCGCTCTGTCACCCAGGCTGCAGTGCAGTGGCCGGATCTCAGCTCACTGCAAGCTCCGCCTCCTGAGTTCACGACATTCTCCTGCCTCAGCCTCCGGAGTAGCTGGGACTACAGGCGCCCGTCACCTCGCCCGGCTAGTTTTTTGTATTTTTTAGTAGAGACGGGGTTTCACTGTGTTAACCAGGATGGTCTCGATCTCCTGACCTCGTGATCCGCCCGTCTCGGCCTCCCAAAGTGCTGGGATTACAGGCTTGAGCCACCGCGCCCGGCCTCTTCTAGCATTTATATACTCCAGCAAATGTCTGTGTTAGTTAAGAAGAAATAGCTCAGTTGTGTGTCTGTCTTGGCATAAATGCATTCTGTATTATAAAACTTGTTAAATTTGAATTATGAATTTTTCATCAATATTAATAAAATATAATTGAACTATTTGGATTTTTATTATAGATGGCATAACCATCCAAAACATACTCAGAATTGGAATATTTCTCTTTTGTAAATTCATGCTGTAAGTTATGCACCAAAGAACTAATACTTAAAATGCATGACATAAAAGATGCATATGTTAATTTTAGGAAGCCTGTCAGAATGATGCCACTTTTAATCTTACGCTGGTACCATTATAGTTATCATTACATCTAGCTGTTTTGTTATCTAAGTAGTTGCTAAATCTCAGATTAGCCACTGACTCAGTGTGTGCTGTGCACAAAGTGAGGTGGGCTGTGCGACCACCTATTTTGAGAAGGATCTTAAAACAGTCTCACTTCCGTTCATAGCAGTCACGTGGATAAGCCTTTCCACTTCTATATTCATCAGTTTTAATGCATGTACAAATCATCCTACTATTTTTTAAAAACAGACATTTTCAGGACCTGGCTTCAGTCCACAGGATAAACCAACAGATATGAGAGAAGTCTTGTGGAAAGATTGTTAATTTATTTTCTTTCTCATAACTGTTTCTCAGAATGCCCTTATAATTTTATTTAGCCATCATTCATCAACTTACTCATTTAATAAATATTTATTGAGCACTTACTCTGGACAGGCACTACCAGACATGGTGTTAGACCCTAGGGGAAACAGCTGTGTCCAAAATGAGTGAAATTCCTGCCCTCGTGGTCCTTGCTTTCCACTCAGAGAGGGCAATAAACCAATAAATAAATGTATAGGTATATTCAATGGTGAAGAGGGAAAAATAAAGCAGGAAGTGGAATCAGGAAGTAGATTTGGGAGTATGGGCTTGCACTTTTTTACATGTGGACTTGAATCAATAGACCTGGATTCAAATCCTACCACTGCCCTTGGGCAACTTGTCTTCTCCAAGCTATGGTGTCTTCATCTGTAGAATGAGGTAATAATGTCCGCCTCGAAAGGCTGTTGTGAAGGTTAAATGAAATAATTTGGTAGAGTGCATTTCACAGAGCCTGGTATATAATAAATGTTCAATGTCTTAACTACAATAACAACAAAAACAATTATAAATGACTGCAGTGTACATATTATATGGACTAAATCCTAACTTTGAAACCCCAGAGTTTAACCCTGCTTTGCTCTTTAAATGGCATGGGAGTAATCATTTGGGAGGTTGTTGGTGTTGAACTGGTACACAAACCTGGCTCTGCATCAGAATTATCTGCAATACACTGGATCTCAGGAGACCAACTGAGTTGGAATCCTTTATACTTAGAGTGAAGCTTGGACACATGCATTTTTATGAAGATTTATCCATGATTCTGATGTGTAGCCATGGTTGATAACTTTAATAGGGATGTAAACATACTAAATTACTCAATTGTAGTAGCTCAAGAATTATTACATCCTTGACTTTATGGCTAAGCTGGTTCCTGGGGATGGTGCTTTTCAAGATGTGGTTCCCTGGAACACCAGCATTAGAGTCACCCAGGGAGCTGGTTTAATTAAATGGCAGATTCCAGCTGGGCACAGTGGCTCATGCCTATAATCCCAGCAGTTTGGGAGGCTGAGGTGGGCAGATTACTTGAGGTCAGGAGATCGAGATCAGCCTGGCCAACATGGTGAAACCCTATTTCTACTACAAATACAAAAATTGGCTGGGCGTGGTGGCACACACCTGTAATCCCAGCTACTTAGGAGACCGAGGCAGGAGAATTGCTGGAACCTGGGAGGCAAAGGTTGCAGTGAGCCAAGATTGTGCCACTGAACTCTGGCCCGGGTGACAGAGCAAGACTCTGTCTCAAAAAATAAATAAAATAAAATAAATTGCAGATTCCTAATGTGCATGTCAGACCTACTGAGGACAATTCTATGAGGTAGACTCAGATCTCACATGTGTGAACCACCACCTTAGGAAGTTCAACAGGAAAACAACACAGCACGTCCATAATCTAGCAAGAAGAATGTCCCATGCTCTGATATGTCCAAGTCAGCTGGGACAGATCCTTCCTGGATGTCAATCATGGCCAGGCCCTGTGACCTCTATCAGAGTGGCAAGAAATCACTGGTCCCAGTGCTATAGTTTCTAGGAAGGGCAGTGTCTTGTGTTTCAAATGAATAGATACTAAGCAGCACCCAGAATGCATGTTATTTATATTTTAATTTGTTCTATATTTAGATACAGTTGGTCATGTTAAGTCTTGTAACTTAGTATTTTAGCAGGCACACTAAATGTTGGCAACGTGAAATTACATAATAAGCTTGGAGAAAACCATCCATTCTTACGTTCTCAACACCGAGTCCATCTAGTAGCACTGAGGAATACTGAGGAGCATCTTTCAGAACTGGGGTCTTTCTCCAATCCCAGTTTGTGAAACACTGTCCTAGCTGACACTTTTACAAGTCAGTGTGGAACTGGCTGCATCTGAATTTTAGAGACACTCTACCGATAGGTTGTGGTAACTTAAGGATCTTCGATCACCCAACCAGCCCCAAATTACACATGCCAATATTTGCCACTATGTGCAGAGTCAGAAGCTTGATTCTTTTTCATTAATAGGAGTGTCAATTGTATGGAGAAACACTTGAAAAAGTTACTTGTGATACTAATTTATTCATAACAGAAAACTTCCTTGATAAAGGACTTTGAAGACAGGCTTTCAGCTAAGACATAGCTTCCCATGAGACTCATTTCCATGAGCGAAGTAATAGAGGGAAGACTTTGAAAGAAGTCATTGCCCCAGCACCCCCATCAGCAACATTTCTAACATGTTATTTTAATTATGTTAGAATGCATCACGCTACACCCGAGGAAAGCACTGTTGAGATGATAGTAGAGCAAACCAATCTACCAGCATTCTTTTGAGTTCTGTGGACTTTGGGACTGTGCCGGTTCCTGAAGAGGACACTATAGGTTCTTGGTCTGTGGCCTTCAGTGAGGAGGAAGATCAGTGAGGCATGGAGTCCTTCGAGAAGGCTTCCTAAAGGAAGTGGAACCTGTACTTTGGCTGTGCGTAGAACTGGAAGAGATAAACGAACACGGGAAGACAAACTGGATTAGAAGAATAAGGCAGAATTCCAACCAAGGCACCAAAGTGAAAGCAAGCATGGGACGTTCAGGGGCTGGGAGAGTCTGACTCGTTCCACAAGGGGAAACGTGTTGAGGGAGGTGGGAGATATGATTGGGTGGGCAGGATGACATAAAACTCTACAGTGCTATGTAAGCTAGGAAGAAGAATTTTAAGCATGTGTCAGTAGGAAACAGGACGTCACTCACGTTTCTGAAAATCTGAGAGCTGGCATGAAGGCAGAACAGAATATGAATTATGAACCCAGGGTCAGCATCAAAGTGCATAGGTGTGAAGGTTGACGTTACCTCTTGCATGCTTTGTGGCCTAGGCATCCACTTCAACTCCTCATGCTTTAGTTGCCATATATGTAAAATGAGAATAATAGTACCTCATAGAATTGTTGTGAAGATTAAATGAGAGGATGAATGGAAATCATGTAGCACAGTGCTAAGTGGCTTGGAACAAGTGCTCCATAATGGTTGCTAGTGTAGCTATAAAATTGATCTGGTCTTGACATTTGATTTCTGAAGTCTGAGGCTCTGGAGGGTCACAGAGAAGACTAGTAGAGGAACTAGCTAGATATGAGGCAGGTAGAGATCCTAGAGTGGAATAATACAATTGTGACTGCAAAGGGATGGATGATTTGGAAAGAAAAGTATACGACTTAATCACAAATTAGGAAGAAGGGTTAAAAAGAGGGAATAGGTATAAGGTGACTCAAGTTTTGATTGCATTGATAAAGGTGGTAGGATTCTTAGAAGGAAAACCTGAGTTGTAGAGGAATCATGAGGAATTTCATTTTGGACGTGTTTAGTTGAAACTGATGGCAAGACTCCAAATGGAATCATCCAGTGGCAAAATTGGGAATAATCAATATAACTGTCTATATACATGTTAGTGATATTGCTTTACAGTGCAGTGCAATATTTATATTGTTTTGTATGTATGCAAGTATATACATACATGTTCTCACAAACTGAGCTACAGTAATCATCCAGTGGAAACTACAAAAACTAAGAGAAGTTAGGAGACATGAACATTATGGAGACGAGAGTAGGACTGGAGGAGGAGATTTTCAAAGGCTTGATTGAAAAGAGCAAGGTTATCCAAGGACACTTGGAAACAGAGTGAGGCTAAAGGAATTAGCGATTAGCAAGGCCTGGAGAATGAGTAGAGAGCCAGAAGAATTTGGAAGACAGAAAAAGAACAGAAAGTAAGCCAGAGATTTTTGGAAAATGAGTACTATTTCCAGCTATTTGTTATTGTTTTCTCCTTCCTAGAGGTTCTTTGCTCAGTAAAGTGAGCCTCGTATTAATTCTCTTATGTTTTGTGACAATTACAGAGACAATTTTTACATTATTATTACATTTTACATATTACTAAGAAATATTAGGATATATATTAGGATATAAACAAGTGCATGAAATAGGGTTACAAATTTAAGTTGTATACTGTCCATTTTCCATTTTCACCATCTTTTGATCAGGAAGAATTATATTTATGTTGTCCTTATTTCCTATAACTTTTAGTGCTAAAAATTCTCCTTGTTCAAAAGTTGAAGCTTTCTTGTATCAGTTTCCATTCTGAATTTATGTCAATTTCTTTGCAAACCCTGATTCTAACCATAGTGTATTCATTATCACTACCATTTTCTCAATTTTTTAAAATAAAAGTGGTAAAATTGGAAGGAGGACAAGCAATAAAAACAAAAAAACTTTATTATTACCATGTTACTTTAAAACATCTATAGCTAACAGAGAAGCAACCAGTTTAATAGGTCTTATGTTAAACTAAACATCGGTTGCTTTTATCATAGAATGTTTAAAATTTTTTCCTAAAATTAGAATAGAGAATGTAGCTTTTCATTTATCATGTTTATTTCTTTAGTCACTCCTTCTCTATTTTTATTCTAAAATATGGAATAAATAGCTCTGTGAGCTAGTATATATATATATATATACTGCAACTTTCAAAACTTTAAGCACATTATATACCAATTCCCAGGCACTCTTAGAGAGCTGCTCTACCTTCAGGGGTAAAATTAATTGAAATCCCGATCTTTTAACAGTTCTCTCTTGGTTGAATGAATGGCTGCTGCTAAAAAGTAAGTTAGTCCTTGAAGAAAGTCTGAATGTATACAATGAAAGAAAAACTTAGATTGAGGAAGAGAGAAGTTATTTGCAGGATGTTTTAAATGGTTATTTAGAATTTCCCCCGCTTTTGGGGGTTGAAGTTTGGGCACCCTTGGCCTATCTCATGGATTATCAAGCAAAGGCAGGGGCCTAGTGGAAGATTAAGTGCTGATTCTCCTCCCTCACTCCAGCTCCAGCCAGTGGCCACTCACAGAAGGCCCAGGAAATTTATGAGGGAAACATGCTTACCCCAGATTCTAGATTAAGATGATTTGATGCTCTCATCCACCAAGGATGCTTTCTGCTACAAACTCCCTGCTGAAAGCAGCTTAAATAAATGGTATTTCATATTACAAGAAATTATAGGCTGAGCATGGTGACTCACATCTATAATCCCAGCACTTTGGGAGGCCAGAGCAGGAGGATTGCTTAAGGCCAGGAGTTCAAGACCAGCCTGAGCAACGTAGCAAGACCCCCATCTCTACAAAAAAAATTTTTTTAATTGACCAGGTTTGGTGATGTCTGCCTGTAAGTCCCAGCTACTTGGGAGGCTGAGGCAGGAGGATGCTTGAACCTGGGAGATCCAGGCCACAGTGAGCTATGATTATACCACTACACTCCAGCCTGGACGAAAAAAAATAAATTTTGAGGTGGGGTGATTCTGAGGGTAATTTCAGCATCAGAATTCTGAATTCTGGCTTCTCTGCATACTCTTGGTGTTCCTCTCATGTTCTTAAGTAGCTAGCTATTCCAAGAAGCACTTCACACAGGCGGCGTCCCGGGGAGGAGGGCCAAGCGCTCTCCTTTATACCATAAGTTGTATCACATGACCATGCTTACACCTATCCCCAGCAAGGCAAATGAACTTGCCATGGCCAATTTAGACTTACCGATTTCACCATTCATAAACATTGCCACCTGAACCTGGGCAAAATTTATTTTTTGTCAGCAGAGGAGGAGGGAATGACAGTTGCTGAGGGAGCCGACAGTGCTTACTACAGTATAACTCCTGCCACTTTCAGTCAATACGGCATTAACTTCCAGCTCCTATTCTAGCCCTAACTGGGGCCTGGGATCTGCAGCTAACCCGTTCCTAGAAAATGGTGCTTGTGCTGATTAAATTAGGTTGAGTGTTGGTTTGCCTGCTGGGGCTAATTATTGCTAGCGCTGCCTTTGGACCCGCTCTTCCCTAATTCCCAGACAGGTCCCAGGAGCCTTGAAACTACCTGTTGGCTTTGTAGGTCATCAGCGCCTCCTTGTGGTGGGTCCTACAGGTAGGTGGGGAGGGAGGCCTCCTTCCACCTTCCATCTCAGGGCTTGGGCTTTATTTACATCACTGAAATGGAACGTTCCCTGGCAGCACTGGCAACTTTTCAGGAACCAAGCATTCTGGAAATACTCCACTCCTTTCCTACGAAACCAGTCCAAAATTTCTACTTAGCTGTTCCCAGAAAAGGATTGATAGAAGATGCGTTTTACCAGTGCTGTCTTGTTAGTATTTGCCAGTTGCTGTGTTCAGGGGCGGGTTTGCATACTGCCTCAGCTCTACACTTGCTTCCCACCTCCTGCTCCTGGACATGGTCTTGGAAAGCAGCTCAGCTGCAGGCTCTGAGGATAAGGCTGCATTGCACGCAAGTAGTGTACAGGTAACGGCTGCAGCTCCTGGGTCATATATATATTTAGAAGTTCACCTGAGGCCAACAGGATTTAGAAGCAACTTTCCAAATTACCAGCTGAAGCTGGAGGCTGCTATTTTAATTTCACTCCCTCTGTACTCTGGTTAAGAGAGCCACCACATGCCATGAGTACCTTTTTATGGCATCTTCCCTCCTGGACTTCATGCAACAAAATTTGCTCTGTGTTCATTCAGGTCACATTCCCGTGACCTGACTGATATGCACTGAAACTAGCTTTTTAGTAAATTCACATCTGACTTGAGAGGATCTATTTTTATTTTAAGTTGCATGGACCTGGCAAAGAATTATGGGCTGTAGATATAAATTGTGGCTTTTGAGTTGCTTTAGCCAAAAGGAGGGTTCTAGGCCACCTCAGAGCCACAAGGCTTTGCCACCCATTTCATTAACCCAGGCCAGACCTCAGCCTCCTGGCAGTGGCTGGGTAAGAACTCCTTTTCCTGGTTGTTTTAAATTTATAGAATTGAATTTCAGTGTCAGTTTATTGCTGTACTGTACTTGCTCAACTTAGACACATGGAAAAACTACTTTATTTCTGTAAAAATATTTATGCTATTAATTTTATATTGTCACACATTTTTAAAGGGATTATGATCCATTTTGTAATTAATTTAGGGACATACGAATTTGATAATAATTTTATCTTAGCTTTAGTAATAAACTCAAGAAATAAATTCCGACATTTTTCTTCACCTTCGCTCTGCAAATCACCCATGTTTATAGTATGACAATCAAATTTTTTATGTTCAAACTTTATTAGCATATGAAATTTTGCATAAATTAGGTAGCAATACCTTGTAGTTATGATGGGCACTACATTCTTGCTCTACTACTTTCTGAAGACATAGAGCCACCTGTTTAGTTGGAAATCTTAACTAAAGATAATTCAGAAATAGTTATCTTTAAAACCTTGCCGAGATGTTATTCAAATTAATGTTTATCTTTCTCAGAAAAGAAATATTGCTCAACTGTACTAATAGAATTACCTTGATCATTGAGTTTTTTTACTTAAAAATTAACACACAACAGTTATTACTAGAATCAAGTTTTAGAACTTAATGAGACTAATTCTCCTAGGCTCTTTTGGAAGCTGTTTTATTGAAGTACAGGAATTATTAAGTAG